GTATGGTCTTTGTTTGTTCATCAATAAACATGCATAACTTATGACATACATGTGAATGGTACTTTATAACATCCAGTATATTATACAACGAACATTAGGATCTCAGTTTAATTTCAACCGATCAGTATGACTTGTATTGAGAAGGATAATTGTTGTAGCAAATATACGTTACCTGTCAAAGCGGTACTGTGGTAGGAACCAGATGAAACGGATGATATGTTTTCTAGCTTATGAACTATAAAAAAAAACACAGTATAATTGCAATATTCATATATAGTGTATGATCTGATGGTGATAGTTACCCTTTTTTTTCCAGTGTAATTACAGTAACTCCATAACCTCTGAGTGACAATGGCTTATTTTGTCACCATTCCCAAATTTAAACCCACAACATTTTTTTTTTTAAAACTTAATTTTGTCAACTAGAGATTCTTATCAATGCGAAAAAGCTATGAAATCTTCAGACAAAATAAAATGTGATACTGTTTTGTGCACAAACAAAAATGTGATATCTGACCTTCTACTCTCCATATGCAAGAGCATTTTACAGTTACTGTATATTCAAATAATTGTATGGCAGAATTATATTTCTGAAAATATTTTTTTAAATAAAATATAATGAAATAAATATAATTGTGAACAAGTCCCACATTCTGCCACTATATGGTACATTCACTGTAGTAGTACTTTAGGAAAATAGCAATATTTAAATTTTAATTTGAAGCAAGTAAAAAAAATAATTACCTTGTTTGGGTACACGTTGGAGAAGTTGATACCCTGTTTTTGATTGGTCATTACCCAGTTGTCCTTTCCTGGCTGAACCCCATGACCAAAGTTTACCATCATTTGTCACCGCTAGGGAATGTCTCAATCCAGCTGCAATGCTCGTCACATTCCTTGAGAAGATCTGAAGAAAACATCAAGAAAGACTCAGAATATTAATTAGCAACAAGTCATCGTTAAATGACATAGTCTGCGTTGGAATTATGGGAAATGTTATTCATGCCAAAAATAAAGTAATATGCGCCAACATCATCGTTAATAATTTAGAGTGAATAATTGGCTTGTCCAGTATCAACAGAAAATAGATGTATTAAATCACTCTTCCGAAATTGTTGTATATGGTAGCCTCACCGTAGGAAGATATGCTATTCATGCATTTTTTGTATCCAAACTGAAACAGGAAACAAATCATTATGGACATGTATCTCAACATGTATAATGTTTGTATCAAATTTGAAAATCCTATCCTGTCCAAGATACCACATTTTCGAAAAAACAAGATGGATGCCAGTCAGCCATCTTTGATTTGATTATGGAACAAACTGACATGAACATGTATTCCTATATGTATAATGTATGTGCCTAATATGACTTAAAATGGTCAATAAGCATGGGGATATAGTAGTATGGTCAAAAGCCAAATGACCGCCAGTTGGCCATCTTGTATGTACCAAATTTGAACAAAAACTGACACACCATGCATAAGATACCACATTTTCAAAAAAAACAAAATAGCTTCCAGTCAGCCATCTTTTATCCGATCATGAAAAGAATCGCCATAGACATATATCCTAACATGTATAATGCATGTACCAAATTTGAACAAAAACTGACAAAGCATGCATAAGATACAACATTTTCAAAAAGCAAAATGGCTGTCAGTCAGTCAACTTGGAATGAATCAGTAAATCAATGCATGTGCCTCAGGTAAAGTACTAGGCACATGGAAAAAAATGAAATATGACGAACGGAGACCAAACTGAGACCAAATTATAATACTGTAACAATAATTTCATTTTAGGCTTTGCACAATGGGAGTTCAAATAGTCAAAATATGTCAAACAATACCAGCATTTATCATACAGTAAAATATGACCCCCACATTTGGTGACTTATCAAATACTAAAAATATTTTTATCATCTGGGCTGGGAATTAGTTATTGCTACAAACATTCTTACTGATTATTGTATGTTCTATCTGCCCTTCCACAGTTGACTGAAAAAAGTGAACAAACTCAATTAAAACAAGGATAAGGAAATTAGGATAAGTACAGCAAAAAAGAGTTTTAAAATAATAACAAGATATATGTAAGAATTGTACAAAAAAACAATACAAAAGGACTTAACTAGTATTTAAATGTTAAATAAATCTTTTTGTTGTGTAAATATAATTGGCAAGTTCTATAATTATATCAGGATCTTTGCTTGAGAGTATATATGTGAACTGTATATTTTTATTGTTTCGATGAAAGTAGTGTCATAATTTTTTGGATGAAATTTTCCCTGTGTGTGTTATATTTTGGGCAATTCAATAGAAAATGTTCTTCATCTTCAATTGAATTTGTGTCACAGTTATTGCATATTCTACATGTTTGTGCCCACTTTTACACACTCAGGTACACCACAGGTATATCCAAACTTTATAACAGTGTTATTTGTTTCAGATCAATGTAAAACTTAAAAATCAAGTTGGATTGAGTGTATATAATATATCATCTAGTTCCCATCAACCAAGTAAGTACACATTTTTTACAGTATGCTTTCACTGCATGCATTTAACAGGGCATCTAAATCCCAAAGAAATAACAAAATCTGCTGCAAAATCATCTGTATTAATCCCATGGAAAATATTAATTAACACATCGCACCCTTTCACTTGTAATCTTGGTATTGTGATTCATCAAAATACAAATTATGATTACTCAAAAATATGATGTGATAACATGTGATTGATTGTTGTGTAATAACCTCTTAGAACTCTGGTCACAATAACAACAGAATCTATACCTGTATTTTTGTTGGTATTGCAGTGAATGAATCGATTTCAGGAATTCCAAGTTGGCCAAATACATTGCAGCCCCACGCATACAGATCCCCCACTTCTGAAAGATAAACAATACAAAAGTAATTAACAAAATATTTTATTTTATTTTGTTCAAATAATTGTGCAGCAAACAAACAATATATTTAATAGGATATCATAAAAAGACTGTAATGTAAAGATTTTAGTAACCAAGATGTGTAGGTAATCACAGTATTGCAATCTAGTATTGCCAGAGTGCATACTGTGTGGTAGTTTTTGTCAATGAGAGAACAGACATGTATAGTATGTCTTACGCGAAAGTTTGCATTCAGTGGCAGAAACTCTTTCTATCACACAGTAATTAGATCAGCATCTGAACACAAAACACATTAGAATATGATATAATAACCTTCATTTTGTTTGAGTTTAGTACAAAAGAGTGCAAAACATTTTGAATGAATGCATACACTGTTTCTTTCGCTCTTATCAATGTTTTCCATGAGGGGGATTGGCAAAATTTACTGTAAAATGGAGTGTCGTTTTGGAGATTTAGATTGCTACAATGTACACCATCAGTTTATGTCCCACCCTTGAGTTATTAGCATGTTCCTTGTATGGAAAATTTTATATGCAAAGAAAAATTCAAGCTCAAGCCAACAACCCCCTCTCCTGGTGGAAAACATTGATATGTGCAATACCAAATGCTAAATTCCATTGCTTTTAGTGCTAAATGTAAAACAATGAGAAATACTCAATGGACTTCAATATATAAAAAAGAAAATAAAAGAAATAAAAATGATAATAATAAAAGTAATTAAAAAGTAAAGTAAAGATAAAGTAATTATCAATGACTTACCAGTGATAGCAAGACAGAAATCCCACCCACAGGTGACTTTTATGACCGGTGGTAAGTGGTCAATACGTTTGAATACAGAAAGGTTATCTGTGTGGCCTAGACCCAGCTGACCCTTTGAGTTCCATCCACAGCTATAAATAGCACCACAGTCTATGGAATGAATGAATGAATGAATGTGAGTGAGTGAGTGTACTTGCATTGATATATGTTCCGAGGACCAAAATCAAATATATACAAACTTCTGAGGACAT